CATTGGTTGTAATTTAAAAGAAGATTTTTTGATAACGTACATACATATATCAACACAGATTATTACAATACACAATACTCACACAATACCGTAAATATTAACAGTTGAATCATCGGACACAATACTTATGTATTATCACAGTACTTTTTTGAATTACAGTTTTACGCTTCCATATTACATATTGTAACGGGGTAAAACCGTTTAATTATTTTATTCGCGCAATTATACTAAAAGGACGCGCGTAATTATTTATGCTCAATACATAAATCGGAGAGCATGTGGAAACGTGCGTCAGTCAACCAGTAAGTCCTCTAATCTGGGAAAAGTGAGTGGAAGCTATATGAAAAGAGTGAGTCAAAAAATACTTGTTAATAACACGGACGGAGCCTTTTATTATCATTCAAATACTACACAAAGTCGGCCCGCGCGTTTGTTTACATTGACGCTCGCTCATCGACAACACGTTTTGCCGGGACGCTTGCTACTCTTTGTTATTAGAGTCACCGCATGCACGCTTCGAATGTCGGAAATTAATAATTAATCATGCAAACGCGATCGCGAAATTAAGCTGGCCAGCTTACCTTATTATTGCAGGCGATCGAAGGAAGCACAGAAAAACCGCACAGCGCGGAACAGTTTTTAATTGTTTGTCGCCGGTCGCGAACACGCGCGCACGGGTATGGTTTCGCCCTCGATGGCGAAACCTCACACACACTCTCGTCCTGGCCTCGAACTAGTAGCTGGATGGCACCTGGGCGGCTACGATCACGGACGACTGGCTGTTGCTGCTCTAGCGTGTTGATGTTGATGGCTCGTAGATTGGCGATAGAAATAGCGAAAGCGGGCGGACTCAACGATAGTCGAAGCTTCACTAGTTCGGTTTCAATCGCGCGCGTTCCGTCTGCTCGCGTGCCGAATTCCTTCGTTACGAATTTCGTCCCCCCGGCAGGTGCTGCCCTCACAGGCAACAATTAAGTTATATTATCAGCGCTAATTTGACGTTTACCGTCACAATATTAATCGATTTATTATAAATTATAATAATTATAATACTATTTACTGTAAGCAAAAATTAAATAGCGTAATAAAAATATATAGCGTAATAACAATATATAATGTAAATACATAAGAGAACTTACATAACCTAAAAATTCTGATCATAAGAGATATCGAAAACTATTCATAAAATCGATTTAACACCACCTAATAATAATATAGGTATTGAAATCAGAGTATAATATCCTTTAAATACCTAGAATAAGAAACTTGTATACATCGCTCATAGAATTAATTCCTCCGCAAAGACTTAGTTGCTTAGAGCTCAGTCTTTCAATGCACTATGGCTTTTCTACACTTCCTACTATTTGTTATGTCTATCATGGACGATGGATTACGGCCTTGGATTTATCATGCGTTATAACCGAGAGTTATTCAATAAGTCTGTGACATTAAATAAAAAAATACTATTTAAATAATTCCAATTTATTTTTGAACATAGTCCCTGTTTAAGTCTATATATTTATTATAGCGGTACTCAAGCTTTTTTATGCTCTCTGTAAAGTAATTTTTATCAAATTCTTCAAAATGCTCATTAGCCGATGTAATTACCCCTTCCCTGGATGAAAATCTTTTACCTGTAAGCCAAATTTTCACGTCAGGAAAAAAAAATAATCGAAAGGATCCAAATCTGAAGAATACGGTAGATAAGGAAGTATTTTGTAAAGTAAATCAAATAATTTGACTGTTACAATTGAACTGGTGCATTGTCGTGATACTTTTTTTTTGCCAGATAGGGCTGCTTTTCCTTCAGTATGGTATAAAATCAATCCAGTAACGTGGTAGAATATTTTTCTGTAATAATTCTTCCATTTTGTAGGTAATTGATTAATATTATACCACTTTAGTTTCAAAAAATTGCAGCCATGACTTTTCCGACTGATCATATCGTCTTCGCTTTTTTCGACGCAGATTCATCTGGTTCAGTCCACATTTTCAACTGATGTTTCATTTCTGGAGTAGAATAATAAATTCTTATTTTGTCAATAGTAACGTAGCGTTGCAAAAACTCCTTTGGATCACGTTGAAACAGGCTGAAACGTTGCTCAGACACAACTATACGATCATGCTTATTATCAGCTGTGAGCAAGCGCGGCATCCATCTTACAGACAACTTTCTCATGTCCAAACATTCAAGTAAAATGTTTCATGTACATCCTACTGAAATGTTAAGATATTCACTAATCTCACGCATTTTCAATTGATGATCGACGAATACAATATCATGAACTTTATCGATCATGTCTTAAGTAGACATCTTTTTTGGATGGCCAGGAAGCTCAACATTACCTGTGCTTTTTTGGTCACAACGAAATTCAGTAAAGGACTATTGAACCATTGAACCATGCCATGCGATGAAGTGTAGTCTCCATAATATTTCCTGTGCTTTTTTTCAATTTCTTTGATTGATTATCCCCATAGGAAATAATATTTAATAAGAACACTACCTTGTTTTTTTTTGATTTTGTTTAGACAATAAAAAACTAAATTCAAATGACTAAAAAATTTCTGAAACAATATATTGACTTAAAACTTTGTATACATACTTATACTATATGAGACTCTCTTACAGTATAAAATATATGGACTTATTTAATGACCCTCGTATATTAGAAGAAACGTCTTGTTATGAATCTGCTGATGTCGCTATTTTCTCCATATACGTGCCCGTGTAATACATAACAATTATACGCACTTATTCACCAATTCATAATGTTGCATCCCACAGAACCTTGTATTGTATGCTTTCTTGACGTAGCCACATTCGCGCTAAACGGTACCTGAGCGTACCTCATCTGTTCATATCGCTGATTCGCGGCCATGTACCAAAAACTCTAGATTTTGGCTACACTGTGAAATGATTCAATCTCCATCCAAGAATTTAGTTCACGTCAAGCTCATGGACTCGTGGAAGTATATAAATCCCGAAAACAGAAACTTAAGAATTATTTTTGGACGGTGTATCTGTACCCTTCAATACATTTCTCACTTCATACACCTAGAGTCACTCTCTAAAGTAATGAATAATATATGCGACGCGTTCTTGATCCTACGAAATCAATGGCTATTCGTCATCTATAAAATAAAACGATCTTTCTTTGCCTTTTGGAATCAATAAAATCTAAATAAAACGAATATCACTTAGGCTCACTTAATTCTTTTAATTTCTCCTGCATGATAATCTCAACTCACTTCAGACAGTCGAGTGAATTAAAAATAAAGGAACCATGACACTATAGAAATTTATGACAATATAGAAATTATAATCATTTCAATTAGTGTTGAATCAATCTTCTTACAAGTTTATAGAAAATTTAACTAACGAAAATATCAGTAGGTAATTCTCTGAATAAGCTATAAAAGTTCAGACGATAATTGTACTAGATAAGATCACACTTCCCGTCAATCATAAGTAAATAGAGCAATACATTACTTGAATTTTTTAATTTTTTATTTAATTAAGTACACAAAATTATTGAAATAAATTATGTTGTACATTTTTAATAATAAATTCGAACTGCATCGATAGATTTTATGGATAAGTAGATGATAAACTGTTTTCAAATAATTTATTGACAAACTTTTTAGATAAATGGTGATGAGTAATTGTATTAACAATAGAGGCATAACATTACTGAACATTCACAAATTCACTTTGGCCAAAAAATATTATGTAAGTTATCTTTTCCATTTTTTAAATAGAATTGATTCGTTCTATTGGTTTTTGACATTACATAACAAATATGTACTGTAACGGGGTACCAACTACAGCTATTATTTTAAATAAGTGAATTAAATAATCCCCCCCCCCCCCCCCCGAGGCAAAGAAATTCATCGGATAACTCGTCAAAGCCTCGTTTGCTGCAGCAGATCTGTCTTCTTGGTAATGCTCCGTTAAAAGCGATCACTGAGAAGCTATTCGACAATATCACTGCGGGAAGATCGTTTTCTGAAAGGAGAGGTAAAGATGTCCGCGATCACCCTAATAGTTTCCACGATATTGTTATATTAGTTCGAAGAGAAAATTAAAAGTTAACAGAGCATTTAATGCATCGTATCAATTAAAGAAGAAAGATGACACTTTATTGAGAGCTTAGCAAAATAAACAAATATACACGGTAGCCGGAAGGCTCGCGCGACGTTAAAACAAAGAAACTTATTATGTGAATAAAGAAAGACAAACAGATTGACACTCGAGAATTAATAGTTGCTTTGCAAGTTAGAGTGCTAAAGTCGAATATTCGAGCACTATAAGAAATACGTCGCGGTGTTGGCCAGTTTACTTGTTATAGAAGAGAACGAAGATTAGGTCTATTACATCGACGATCACTACCCCACGGTAGCTGGAATTCCTTGGGACAAGGGCTGAGTCCAGTTAATTCCGGCGGGCTACTACGTACTGCTTGTGCTATCGTTGGTTGCGTCTGTTCTCCTTAGTCTTGATCTTTGTCGTTATCTACTGCTCTTATGTTTTTCCGGTGTCAAAGAAAACGGTATCGAAAGTGCTGTCTCTCCGAAAATCTAAATTAATTGAATTTGTTGCTTGGAGCACAGCCTCCCTTCTTGGTCCACGTACGCGATACTGCGACTCGCGAGCCGAGAGGTATCGCCCTCCAATTATCGGTGATGGTTAGAACAATCGGTTGAAGAACTTGACTTGTTACAGTACAGTCACCTTCATTCTTTATTATATACTTGATAATTATCGTTTTTCCACTACCAAATTCAACTTCAATGGAAAATAATTAGAAAAGTTTTTATTATAGTGCTTTTCACAAATTCGATTGAAGAAATTAAATAATATTTTTTGAATAGCTGTAAATGACAAAAGACAAAGACAGATTTTTGACTTCATCATTTTTTTTATAACTAGTATAATAAGTTTTATGTTACGTAACTTAACTGATATCAAAAATTTTGAATAAGTTAATAAATTGCCATACCATCGTTGTATAAGAATTTCCGACGTTTCCATAAGACTCGGTCCGTCCATGCTGGCTGTCGGCATTTTTCACTAGTATCGTAATCATCTGAGAAAAGATCATATTTATAAGTTGGTAAAAAATCAATGGGACCCTCAATAAAATTCTTGAAAACATTTCCTTGCTGTTTTTGTATCTGTAATGTTATTAAAAGAATTTGTGAAAATAATACTAGAATAAAAATATAGATTTAAACAATTTAATAATAGATAATTGAGTTCACAAAGTTGGTTCATTACTAAAACACTACAAATTAAATGATTTCGAAGTAGCTTTATTAAATGTCTGCATGTGTTTGATAATTCAATTCATTATATTTGTTTTTTCCCGAAATAATTGAAAAACAGTTAGTAATGAATTATAAAAATAAATTTCAACGTAAAGATTACCTTGATTTTTCTAGTAAAATACAGCATATTTATAATTCTTATTTATTCATTAGAGTTTTGCGAGCGAAGCACATAAAAAGTACAGACCCTGTTGTATTATACGTATCGTGTAATGCGGTGCATTACAAGGCTTTGCCTGAGAGTGTTGTACTATTTGAAAACGATGCAACAAGCCAAAGAACGCGATCCGACGGATGGGCGAAAAATGGAGCGCACGACGAGAAAAAGAGAGCGCACGCACACATACACTCCCGAACACGTGTTACCGGCTGGAGGAAAAACACGGAAATCTTGACTGGGAAATACGAGTACAAGGGAAATGCATGTTAGCGATACATGCGGACCCGTTACACTCCCAGACACTAACACGGATACTTCAAAGAAGTTGACACCTCTGGGGCAACCGGAAAATCGTCGATAGCTGATGGCCGGCTGCTGAGTACCATCGACGGCATTCTAAGCGCCATACACACACACATATTGCTGCTGACCACTAGTGGCACTACATACACCGCACGACCAAAAAGGGAGAGATCCAGGAGGCGCTCCAAAGACCGGAAATAAAGCACGCGCGGGAGCGAGAGCGACCATTTTGAAGCACCGAGCTAACTAAACAGGAACGAGCGAGATAGACTGACCGAGAGGGAGGGAATGCGATGAAGAGAGATAGCGAGCGAATTAGAAAAGAGAGAGAACATATAACTAAAGGCGCGCACGTAATTGACCAGCACCACTTTAAATTTATTATACGCGCATGCGAATTAAATTGTAAAATAGGTAGATTTACTAATAATGACAAGGCGGTCTAATAATAGTTGCGAATAATAATTTGAATGTAAATGGTATTACGAAAGCACTACAAACTAGAAATTTAACGATGATAATTATAAAATTAACAGAAAATAAATAATGTATGTGATCGCAACCTCCTGTATGTATACTCAATAGCGACAAGCCGCGCATTCAATAAAATTAATAGTTAGCCTACGAAATTCAAAATTAATCACTCATAGATTAATGCTGACCGACTTAGTGGGGCGGAGGGGTGAGTGAAGGTAAATATCGATGCCTTAGGAGATAAAACGAGGGTGCTGCCACTTTATTAATTTGCATATTGACCAATAACGGGAATATTCCGAGGCTACCGACATTCGAATTAGCATATCAATCAATAAAGCGATTCCTTCTCCAAAAGAGGAGAAATAATAGATCTTCGACCAGAGAGAGCCGTTGCTTGTCCATTTTGCTACTGGTAAGGCTAGATGACAGTTGCTGAGCAGAGAAACCGACTTGAATTTTTGTGTGTGACCATAGATTTTGAAAAATAAACCGTAGTAATTCAAGTAAGTAGTAAAAGTGCTGCTTGTTATTGCGTATTACGTAGGAGTTAGGCGTAAGCTGTCGCAAAATTAATTCATGGAGACGCGTGGATCCGTCGACGTCGCGATTAAGTTTTCGGACCGAGACGCGTTGAACTTCCGTCATTATCGAACGCGATTGTAGATATGATCGATCAATAAAGAAACAAGTGATTTTATTTAGTGTTTCATATTGATTTCGATTTGCCAATCATTTTCCCCTGCATGCTGACATTATTTTCAGCCTCGGTCGGAATTTAAGTGATTTCTCAATTTTCCGAACGGTTCATATACGTATGCGATTCGACAAACCGCGGCCCGAGAAGAGAAGTAGAAGCTGAGCTGCCTGACATTCACCTAACGGCGACCAAGACTTGAAGAAAAGAACAGCAACTAGACAATATCAGCAAGGAGCTCATAGAAACGAACAACGTCGAGTCAAAGGAGTTTCAAATTCAAATTGTTGGAACGACTTTGCCTGCTCTGCACAGTTGCACGGTGGGCAAAATCTACCGACAATTTTGATTCAGACTCGAATTCCCGACGATCATCGTTAACTGAGACAGTGATCTGGAGCCCTTTTAATATAGTCGAGGAATCGAATCTACCGAGCACCTGTGGTGGCGATATTTCGTTAGTGAGGCTTTGGTCCCCCGAAATTCCCTTTCACAATCGATATAAGCTTTCATTGTTTTCTTAGATGCGCCTATATGTACCCTTTTAAGCACTTCTTTGCCCTTTTTGCCTATTTATCACTTTGGCTATTTTTTACTCCTCCTGTTGCCCCTTCCGGCCTCTTTTTTTAAAATATGTGATATAAGTAATATAGGTCTAATAAGATCCATTAATAAAGTGATTATAATTGTTCAGAAATTATGATTATTTCAAAAATATATGGATAGTAATTGTGTAATGATTGAAATATGTTTAGAGATTTTAATAATATTTGTAACGAATGAATATTCGTTAAAGCGTGTGCGTAGCCCAAGGAACATCGCGACGAAAAACTGCAAGCGTGAACGAGAAAGAGAATGGCTGAACATTCGTGAACGCGAAGAAAAGAGATAAGTGGAAACATATACTCCTGGTCAAAAGTTTTTGCCCACCTAGACACAAAATTACTAAAATTTCTAGGTTTTATATCTCAGTTGAAAATTAACTTACAAAACTCAGCGAAGGCTCATTTGAAATACTGCTGCAAAATTTTGTTTTGTTCAAATTCAGCGATTTTATAAGCATTTTCTTTCAAAACAATGCTAAATTTCTACTCTCTGTATCTTTCAATATTGAAATGGTACAAAAATATTTATTTGAAAGAAAATTATTTATTTCGTACAAAACATACACAGAAAATGTTTGTGCCTTTTTTATTTAAGTTTATTAAATTAATAGAAAAATATTTCATAAACATACATAAAATTCTCTGAAAAAAATGTCTACGTATTCTCTATACAAAATGATCATTTTTTGCAGATAAACTGTGTTCGTTTATTTGAATTTTTAATGTACAACTATGTCCATCCCTCAAGTCTATTATTAAAATAAACAAGTGGAGATAAGTACATTCATAAAATTATGTAAAATTTTCCAAGATGCTCTATAACATTCATCAAAAGCTAATTTTAACAAAGTCATCGTGAAATTTATGTGATTCTCTATTTATTGGATTTTTGATTTATGAGACGTTTTGATGCCAGAATGGCATAAAAAACTTACATTATGAAGCTATCATATTACATAAATGCAATATAAGTAATCGTGATATTTCTTGATTTTTGAATATTCTTGACGTATTGTAGACTGCCATGTGAAAAATTTCAAAACCATTCAAAAATATTGAAGACAAAAAATATTGTCGTAGACCAAGGAAAACCGCAAAGTCTAACGATAACTACATTGTAAATTTAAGATTACGTAATAGACGCCTTACAGCTAGACATATCGCTGCTGATGTGAACCGTCAAATGAAAAAACCTGTGAGTAAAACAATCATAAAGCGTAGATTACGTGAAAATAATTTGTTTGATAGAATTGCAGTAAAAAAACCGCTATTGAGAAAGTAAAATATTACGAAAAGATTAAAATGGATTAAAGAACATAAAAACTGAACAATAGCAAATTGGAAACAAGTGCTGTGGACTAATGAGTGTAAATTTGTGATCTTTGTTTCTAAAAAATCAATTTATGTTTGAAGACGTACAGAAGAGAAATTGCCAAAAATTGTATTGTGCTAACGGTGAAGCATGATGCAAGTTTTGTAATGATGTGGAGATGTTTTAGTAGATCACAAGTAAGAGACATTGTGAAAATTGAAGGAATTTTAAACTAGGAAAAGAACAAACAAATCATTTAGAGATATGATTCCTTCCGGCACAAACCTAATTGACCCTTTATTCATTTTCCATAAAGATAACGATTCGAAACATACTTCGAACATATGCAAAAATTATATAGCAAATTTAGAGAAGCAAGGCAAAATAATAGTATAGTACCTTCGATCGACAGACCTCAATCCAATCGACTTATTATGGGAGAAACAAGATTCGGCTGTAAGAAGGACGAATCCAACTTCTACAGCAGATTTATATTACATGAAGAATGGATTACAAGATTGTATTACAGACTGTATTAGAACAAGAATGAAAGTAGATATCTGATTATAAGTAACATTAGATAAACTAATTCAGAGAATGCCCAGACTGTTATCCAAAGTAAGTTTCATCATTTTGATGGAAAGAAAGTTTGATTTCATTGTATAGTAAAATAAAAATTGAATAAAAACACTTTTCTACATAATTGCAATGAGTAAACTCTAAATATTAACTTACTTTACGTATCATTTATCAAATTAGCGAAATTTAATTGACAATTATAAATCAAAAATAATTTTGCAATATGTAATTAAAAAAATAATCCGAAGGTAGCTGGATCTTAATTTCGATTTAAGAAATTAAGCGAGAATTCAACAAATTGATAACTAATTATTGAACGAAGTTATCAATAAATAGACAATCAATAATTTATTTAAACTGTGACGAGAGCAGGCCGTGTGCCGGTCTCTTGTCTGCGTTCTCCCTCCTCCACTCGGCAAGGCGTGTTGGCCAACGTTAGGCTTATTAAAGTATGCGCCTAACACTTGGTCTTTCTGTTTCAGCGCCTAGGACGAGCCAGCGCAGTTGAGCGCAAGAAAAAGTTGAGAAGCGCGGAGAGAGAGTGAGAAAGAGAGAGAGAGAGAGTATTAGGCCCATGCAGGGATTGGCAGGCGCGCAACGCGTGACCGATAAGCGGCGCGTCGCGTGCCGCCTAACTAATAGGTCAAGGTAGGGAGAGGAGCAAGCGCTGCTGAGCGGCTGCAAGACGAGCGCAAGAATAAGTGCGTGAGAGAGTCG